CTGGTCCTGTTCTTTTCTTCATTGGGAGGTTTTTGATTAGATTTGGTATCTTTACTACATGTACAGTTGTTTCGATTATCTATTTCTTCATGATTCAGTCTTGGTAGCTTGTATGTTTTTCAATATTTATTCATTTTATATAGGTTATTGTTGGCATACAGTTGTTCATAGTATCTTGATATGATTATTTTTTAAATTTATTTATTTAAATTAGTTTTAAGTATACACTACATTGGTTAGACATCTATACAGTTCATAAAACAATCCTCCCAATTGCTCCCTCCCTCCCCTAGACTTATATTGGTACTTCATTTTAAATTTGAAATTGTGCACATGTAAGATTGTGAACTTACGAGCTTTGTATTTTGTATTTGATAGTTTATCAGTCTATTAGAGAAGTTTGGGAATAGAAAAAGAAAAAAATCATTCACAATCTTTCCTCCTTGACATGACTTATATTTTAAGGATGCTGCTTTCCATTCTTTTTTCATAGACGTTTTCCCTCTCAATTGTAATGCTGCTTAAGAACTTCTGCAGTCTCTTCTTTACTGGGTGATGTTAATATAAGCATATGTTGCTACATAGCCTTCATTGCTAACAGAGCTGTATAATACTTTCCATTGATTAGCTCTACCATAATTTATCTAATGCTTCCATTTCATTCAAGTTGCTTTACATTTTTTACTAATAATGGTAATACTAAGATGACCATCTTTTTTTTTCTGTTTGGATTATTTTGAATTTTTTGAGGATAGTGTAAATACTGGGAGAAGAAAGATTGGGTGTGTCAGGGAGGGTTTCTTGTAAAAGATGAAAGTTTTTGATGTTGAACTTGTATGACTTTCTCTTATTGAGGAAAGAGGAAAAGAGGGAGAGTGTGGTTATAATCGTGTGATGAACTAAGGTTAGGGTCCTGCTGGGTTTTGCTGTATTCTGGAAAAGTGCCTATAGTCTTGAGTGTTGGGAAATCTCCCTGATGTACCTGGAACTTTTTTCCTTAGATAAGATAATAAAAATTAATTTAATAATTTTCCATCATAGTTATTTCAGACCACCCACCCCTCATCCAGGTGGCCAGAACTACTTAGAAAAAGAGGAATCAGTCAAAGAAGCACATTACTTAGAAGTTAGAAATAAATTAGTTATATTAAAAGGAATGATTAGCAACAATAAAAAATTCTGAGATTATACTTTGGGGTATTATGTACGTTAATTCTTTTGGTTGAACTACATAAGAGAGCAAATACAAAATTAACCTAAAGTTTAAATAGCCTTAAATTTGCTGCTATTTTCATTTATAGAGTTACTTATAAAAGTGTTCTGACATACTATATTATCCTAATAGAGTACTTATTAATTTACTTTTTTGCTATTAGAACAATTTTAATTTTTTTAAGAGGAGTATGTGTTTATTAACATTGCAGAGTAGACATTTTCTGGAATACCAAAGATTTGGCAAAACAGAAAAGGCACTAGTTACTGCGCAAACCTCCCATTCTTTTGGTTTTGAGGTGGAGAATCTTCATGGTCTGGGTATACTTTCATGGTAGCTGTGGCTCGTGATTTATTTGGTGTTGAAGGCCCCTTCTCCTAGTTGGGAGGAAAGAGGATTATAGTACCCAGCAGTGGAGACACTTGTGTCTCATTAGATTATCTCCTGTTCTGTAAAGCCTACACAAAGGAGTGGGATTATACCTGTTTTATGTTATTTGGGGATACAAAATTTGTTAGTAGTACAAATCATAGAATTTGTATAGTCACCTTGCATTTATCAGAACATAGTGATTGCTTCATAGAATATACATACAACCTGAACAGATTTCAGCTTTGCTTACATGATGTTTTTAAAGTAGCTATTGTGTTCTCTTTCTAGTTTTGTAATTTATTTAGAAAGGAGATTAACTTACCATAACTTGTGCTTAGTGAATCCACAGCGATGCTCCCTAGTTAATCTCTTATTTCTTTTTTTAATTCAACACTTATTCATCTAATTAACTGACCAAGACAGCAAAGTTAATTTACAGTGAGACTCTCTTCATTTTTGCCTGATATTTGGTAAAATTATTGTTTTTTAATCATAAATTTATACATTACTAATGATTGTAGTTTCTAGAGACAGAATGGTTTCAAATATGGTTTGTAAACAATTAGATTAAAAATATTGTGCTAGTAATAAAAACATTAACATAAATTTAAAGTAACTTTTTTTAATCAGCTGACAAACAGTACAACATCCAGTTGAGCAGTAGTAAAGGAAAATTGATACTCTCTTGCATTATAATTTAGGACAGCCCTTTAAGAAAGTATTTTGGCCATCTAAACTATAAGAAGGCATGAAAATTTCATATACCTGGATATAATAACTCTACTTATTATGACTCTATCCTGAAGAAATAATCCAAAATATAGAAAAAGCCATATACTTATGAAATGCGTATTTCAGCCTTACTTTAAACTGATAAAATTAAAAACCACCCAGATGTCCAGCCTAAAGTAAATTCTTACCTACTGAATTTGCAGTCCTGATGCCAAGGAAGAAATGTTAACGATATAAAGATTCAAAGAGAGTAGAGAGTATTCTAAATGTGCTTACACATGTTATTCCTTTTCTAAACATCTTCAAATCATTTGTGTACTTACCCATTTTATTTTTATTGATACAGTATCAAATTTATTAATTTATAGTTTTTGTGATCTGTTTTTATCTTTTCAAAATCAGGGCCTTTTTTGATCAAATCTTTTGGCAACTCTCCTGTTGTATAAAATTTCTCAGAAATTACTTAAATTTGTGACTAAAAGTTTTTCAGAATCCAAGTTGTAATTTGTCTGGTGTTGAAATTTAAATGCCTTAGGTAGATCATTAACCCACTCTTTAGCTTTTAATTGTATTATACCTATATCTTTTAATAGACTTTGAGTTCCCAGTGTTAAAATGTATTCTCTCTATAATATTTTCAATATAGGAAATAAAGTCTTTGCTTTCACTTTTTGGAGGTCAGTTCATCAATAGTCAGGAAACTTATGGAAAGGTAAGTTGAATTCATTTTTTTCATTAGATCAGTTGTAATATACTTGTTAATAGAATCTTGGATTTGAATCTTAAATTTTTATTTGCGTTATTATTTATAGCTGTTTCTAGAGGTAATTGAATAAAAAGCGTATTGGGAAAAAATTTGTGGTTTCGGAAAGTAATTTAGGTTTATTTCCAGTATTTGCTTATTTATAAACTTTAATGCAGTTTTGCCATAATTTGTATCTGTTCCTTCATTGAAAAAAGGGCTGTCTTCCATTGATGAGAAGTATAGAGTTAGAATTTAGCTGAATTTCAAGCTTATATATATTTTTTTCTCATGTACTTTTTAAAAAAAATTTATTTAAATTAGTTTCAAGTATACAGTATATTGGTTAGATGTACAGTTCATAAAAGATCCTCCCAATTGCTCCCTCCCTCCCCTAGACTTATATTGGTACTCATTTTAAAATTTGAAATTGTGCACATGTAAGATTGTGAACTTACGAGCTTTGTATTTTGTATTTGATAGTTTATCAGTCTATTAGAGAAGTTTGGGAATAGAAAAA